AAAGTGTATGGAAAATAGCTGATATTTTCTATTTAACTATGAATTTTGGTCAAACCCAATCCCAGGTTTTAACTAAGAAATAAACAAAAGGGGGGAAAGGTCATGAAAATTCAGGCAGATTTAAAGCGATTTGATGACGTCACCACCTTCAAAAAAAGTATCGGTATTGGCATCATTAGCGAGCTTTCTTTGTTCATTTTGAATGTATTCCTTCTGGTATTACCATACGGCAGCAACGAAGAAGGAAGGTGAAACAGTCGTTTGGAAATGGCACTTACTTTGATTTACTTGCACTTGACAAGTACTCCAAAAAACTAACACTCAAGCGAAGAAAATCTCAACTAAAATAAAAAGTTTTCAAAAAAATAAAAACAAACCACTCTAAAAAAATTAATTAAAACTGAATTTAAAAAAAAGTCAACGAAATGAAATAAGAAAGCAACTATAATGAAAAATCCCAAACTTTTATATACTGGATTGACATCAACGCAATATCAAATCTTGCAGTATGACACAACCCAAAACTAAACGCTTCAACTCTGGCAAAGTGCAAGTCGACAACCACCAGCAATTTCACTTTGGCGGATGTGCAACTCTAACGCAGACAGAAATAAGAAAACCGCAGCTCACTGAAGACTGCCAATAAATCCCCCAAAGTGAAAACAAGACTTCCTGAGCATCACAGACACTGACCCTCCCACCATCGACTTCAATCCACCACTCATGCCCCCAAGCACGAACGTGTCAGAACGGCAAGCTCAACTTACACTTTCCTGAGCCTTTGTTTTCCATCTCATGGTGACGCAGCAGAGGAGAGACGGAGCACGAGGAGCGCACTGAGGTGGACTCGCCAACACAGTGCTGTGCATGCGTGTATGCATGCGTGTGTGTCTGTGTCACTCGAAACACCAAGCCTTTTTTTTTTTCAGCCTTTGTGTCATTCACTTAACAACCAATCTCATTAGCTGCTGGGCTACAATGGGCTGAATTATGTTCTGTGTAAATACACCACATGGTGCTCCTCAAGGAAAGGGCTTTTTCATCTCACACACACAAACACACACACACACACACACACACACACACACACACACACACACACACACAGAGTTTCACCCAAAAATGACGACAGGGATGACAACAGACGGCACCTGAAAAGAACAATTACTTTGAGCTTTGGGGCGAGTCATCAACATAGCAATTGCAAAGAGATTGGATGGGCAGAGACTAAGCTCAGAACTTACTATATAGATAGATAGATAGATAGATAGATAGATAGATAGATAGATAGATAGATAGATACAGATAGACATTGTAATCACGCTTCACTGTATCTTTAAAAAGCCTTACTTTGGATTTTCGAAAATGGAGGCCTTAATTAACCTTTAATGTAAATGAGAAACGTTTGATCAAAAATGTCTTAAATAGAGTAAATATGGAATTCTTCAACGTGTCAAGGCTTGGCGAAGGAGAGATCCGAAAAAGTGCAAAATGTCACTTCCTGAAGCCTCAAACTATCCTGCTGGGACAAAAATGTCATACAAGTAATGAAAAATATTGCATAAGATGCGACATAATATGTTGCCCAGAGGGCCCACTCACTCCTCATGGTCTCTTTTAGTGGAAGAGAGATATTTTTATTTATTTATGTGTTGATTTATTTGCATTTTTGCATCCTTCAACCTGAAGATAGCCTGCTGGGGATAAAAAAAAAAAAAAAATTCATACTGGACATCCAAGTAGTTGCCATACAATGTTGAGCCCATATGGCTTGCGGTTACATTTATTGGATGGGAGGTCTTAAAAAGCTGAAATGTTGCTTCTTCAAAGCTGCGGATACCCTAATGCAAAAATGATTCATACATCATATGAAAAATACTGTGACATAATGTGACCTCATTGGACTTACTTTCTCTAATAACATTTAGTGAAAGAGAGGTGTTCAAATTGATCAAAACTGTCTTCAATTTGAGACACTAAAACTGGCAGATTCCTCTTGATGTAAAAATGCAGTTTTGTACAACATATGAAAATTCTCAGCTCCCTATAGCCCATCGGTAAAACGTAACTTTAAGCGATGACTTTGAAAGTAATTTCTGACGATTCTGCCTGAAAAGGCATCCATAAAAAAAAAATTTTTAAAAAAGTAACGAGCGTAAGCACTTGAAGTCATGACAGCTGTCCATAAGCAGCGAGGACATGTCTATTGGCCAACTTGACCCTCATTGGGAGAGAAAACAAATAGAAGAAGAGAATGGTGCAGCCTGGGATTGGCGAGCCTGGTCACTGGAGATTTTCCAGACAAACGGTGCACCCTGGAAGGGAGGGGAGGCGAGAATAAAAAGGACAGGCTCCGAATCTCATTTTAACAGACCGCACACAATCTGGGCTCCCACAGAACTATCTCTGCCTGACCGCTTTCTATTTATCCCTTATCAGTGTTTACCAAGCGCTAGTTTTCTTTCATTCACACTGTGAGGCAGTTCTCTTACTATCAGTCAACAGCTGACACCGTGGAACGGCCTCAAAGGCGAGAGGAAGGGATCAAAACTAAACCAAAGCTGTTTAAACAATACAACAGAGGAAATAAATTCATAAATCCTAATTCTTCCCAGCCCACAAGGGTATAAGCAGATGCTTTATAGTTAGGCCAAGTGAGCCGGAGCGCAGCCAATGAGGTACGCCGCCATCAAGGTACATTGGGATGTATATTTTAGGCCAAAAAAAAAAACAAGGCCGCATCGCAATGGGAAATATGGATTTCATCATTTTTTTTTTGCCATGTCACTCAAAAAGCTCATTTTCTCGCATGTAATTTTTGCGTGACTGTCGTCAAGAAGATTTGTTTTTGTTTTTATTTGTATACACTGCATATATGTGTGTATATATATATATATATATATATATATATATACACACACACACACACACACACACACACACAGATATATCCTGTATATGGAATATTTTATTTTCCACTGGAGCACATACTTCATTTTTGTGAGTCGAAACAAAAGCATTTGGAATCAAATTTGCTTGACTCAAACAAGAAAAAGTCTGAAATAGCATCAAGAATCACCACATTAACGACTGATGTTATTAAAGTCATTTCTTAATTTGCAACATATTCTTGTGCTGCCGCCCAATGCCACTATACCAATAATTATACATCAGCAATACACAGCAGTGTAAAACAAAATATCGCAGGTGTTAAAAACTCCATCCTGACATTAATTGAGGAAACAAAAACACACTCTGGCCTTGTTTTTTTTGTTCCCCCCCACTGGGGGCCACCACGCAAACAACTCTTTCTGTGGAATACTGATCAAAAGTTAAGTCATTAATTACATTTATCCTTTGGCCAGCTGCTCGACAGCAGATGGATCATTTCTGAGACCTCGTTGAATTAAATCCACATAATTCATTTTCCTGGATTAACCAACTGAAGTTGGAGTGGGAGCACGCTGGTCACGGCTGTTTGACAATGCATGGGACAGGTAACACCGTGTCCTTCTGCCTTGTAGAGTCGAAAGAATGAAAGGAAAATCTTTTTAGGGGCCGTCGTCAAAGAGTCGGATTTGGTTTCGTGGCGGCCTTTTTCTTTTTTTTTGCTGGATGGCGAAGAAGGGTACCATGGACAGTTCCTGCAGGCGAGTGCAGGTCACATGGATGCGTTGTTTAGCAACCGACCCGCCTGCACTTTAAAGAGCAAGAGGGGGGATGGGAAAGTGGCAAGGGGTCCAGGGAGGAATAATACCTCTTATCATTGTTTCACCACACACACACACACACACACACACACACACACACACACACACACACACACAGACACGCGCACACAGCCTGGATGCTGCTTGTGTAATTAAAAAGTAAAGAGGAGGAACTTTACTGTAATCTCCAGTACACCACAAAGTTGAGGAACACTCCAGGAGACTCGCCCATTATGTACTTCTGTACAGTTACTTTTCATTAAAGTTAAACGAGTATTCTGCAGGCCAGATTTAACACACTTGTACGCGGGAATAGTCCAAAAACTGTTTTGTTCCATCGCCACGCACTGAAAGCGAACTGGAAAACGCTCTTTTGTTGTGGGCCTTTAGGATGAATTTATCTCTGATTAAAATATCCCGAAATACTGTTTCTTTTACAAATTAATACCTCGCATCTTGCTATCACCGCCGCCAACACAATTTTGTAATCAGCCAAGCGGATATTTGGAGTCCCGACTGCGCCTCGCGTCTCTTATCTGGTCAATGATGAACTTTTCGAAAACGGCATCTGTCCTGCTAAACCAATAGTTGCTGGAGAGACTGTCAAGTGCTTTCTGTTCGCTTTCGAACGACGCCCACGTGCGACGCCAAAGTGTTAGTTTGGCAAACTTTCCGCACAAGTCCTGACTCGAAGGCTATGATCCTGATACAATTGACACGGAAGGCATGAAAACACACATTTTTAAATCTTGGACGGGGGGAGAGGGGGGGGGGGCGATCAACGGCGGCGTTGAAATAAAACACAAGAGTCAATGTTGAAGTGCGGCAGCGGGGCTCAGTGGTCTTGTATGTGCAGCTGTCACTGTCAAAGCCACAGGCGAGCCGCGACAATGCTTTTGTCTGCGCGCACAATACCGACATGTGTTCCTCTAAGACAAGCTTATACTCAGTAACAAACCGGCGATTTTTTAAAATCTACACCATCTCGCGTTATCCGGACCATCCCACCCCCCAAGAAAAGGGGTCACAAAACACTTTGAGCTGTTTAATCTCCCCCTCAAACTGTCGAAAACCTGCTCTGGCTTTAACATCAAAAATCCTCCAAAACGCCACTTTTGTCAGCACATTCAGAAGACGTGAAGAACACACGCACAAATCTCCGCAAGTTTGAAGCACGCCGGCGAGTATCGCGGGCGAGCCTCAAAGGCTTTGGCGTCGCTCGTATAAGCGACGCCGACCACCCTCTCAGCAAAACTACAAGAAATGACACAGAAGAACTTTGAAACCAACCTAAGTGCTGCGATCCCCAAAAGTTTGATTTCCTCCCAGCGATGCTGCTGCTGGTGCTGTTGATGGTAGCTGGCGCCGGTGCGGTGGCTTTGAAAGGTAGTCCCCGGGAATATGACATACTGTGTCTTTGACAGCCTCGAGATAAGCACCTGCGCTCGGGTCTCTTTTTACGTCACACCTCCCCATTCACAGCCCTTCAACATGATGCACATTTGCACATCAACAGCCGCCCTCCACCCAGCTTCCTCCCCCTACCTCCTCAGCTCCCCCATCCTCCTCCTCCTCTTCGCTCTACTCCCACAGCCACACACACACCCATACACACACACACAAAAAAAGAAAAACACAAACAGGCAAGCAAGGAGGCAGATGCACGAGCGCGCTCCAGCAGCGGATTTGTGCGGAAAAACGGTATCACTTACAAGACTAACATTTTGGAATTGCTTTTTACTACTTTGCTGCCGTTATTAATTGTTACAATATTTGGGGGGGATTAGGGAGCGTGCTTGGGCAGCAGAATTGTTTAAAAAAATGCAACAGTAATGCAAGAATGATACTCATTTTTATGTAGTATTTGTACTAATTTATCTATATTTAAAGGCGAAAATACTTCTCAAAACTTTGAACACCCCCATGCAAGCAAGCAGCAGATTTGTGTCCAAAAAAAGTATCACACAAGAAGAGGGAACAATTATGAGGAAAAAAATCCAATTCCAATTTTTCCTCTTCAAAAATTCCAATTGTGATTTAATATGCGAGTATTTCTTAATTTCAAAGCCCTCATATGATTTTCTATGCCCTCCCAACTTAACTGAAAATGCATGTGAGTGCGCTCAAGAAGCAGATGTGTGTGAAAAAGGCAATGCACAGACTCAGACAAGTGCATACTTATTTGTTGTAGTTCTGTTCATCGAATATAAATCGTATATTCTGTACATTATGTATGTATATATATATATATATATATATATATATATATATATATATGTGTGTGTGTGTGTGTGTGTGTGTGTGTGTGTGTCTGTGTGTGTGTGTGTGTGTATCTTGTATGTCACGTCATTTCCGACACTGCTTATCCTCACAAGGGTACAGGGGGGTGGTGGTGCTGGAGCATATACCAGGTGACTTTGAAAAAAGGTGGACTACACCCTGAACTAGTCAGCAGCCAGTTACAGGACACACACAGAGACGAACACCCGCTCACATCCACACCGCCAATGTCATGTCTATCATGTAGATTATATTAAATTGTTCACTTCAAATTAAATTAGTCATTCAAATGGATGGCTATTACAAGAAATAAGTGTGTGGATTTATATATATATATATA